AATGGATGGATGGATTATTAGCCCAACAGCGTGACCTTTCAATAATCTCAAAATAGTATGCTTTAAAACCTGCACAGAGCTTTTGGGGGCAGGTTGGGGTGATGCAGGTCAACTGATGCAGGATCAAGTGCAGCTTACGGGTAGTCAGTGTAGAGTAGTAAATTAAAAGCCTCTTAGTCTGAAAACATTTGCTTCATTTAACTCATGGAGATTATGACAGGTAAACATCCGAATTTCTTATACTGCATGAGTCACACCTACAGGGGCTTAAAACTAAGGATTTATTATCCAAGGAAACAGGTACATCTGGTTTGCAGGAAAAATGTAAAAACACAAAAACACGTGCTGTGGTTTTACACATTTTACATATAAACTGTGTTTTCTTGCTCTGAAAACCGAGCAGCTCATGTCTGCACTCTGGTCACTGTCATACACAATTCATCAGAGCTGCTTTTGATGGGTCATTATGAGTCCTCCTAAGTTCTGCTCTGATCTGAAACTAAAGATCTGAAACTAGATGTCAGATCAAGACTGGCACAGAATAAAAATGTTATGAACATTTTCCCATGAATTAATTTTGTCGCATTGCTTGTTTACTAAAACCTGCCGCTGTGCTAAACACAGCTTTTCTTCTGGTGTTCAGGAGCACATTCAGGCTTACATCACAGTTTGTTATCACTAGCGACTGTTTGCAATGAGCCTCTTTCTACTTATTGCAAAGGCATCTTAGTGAGAACCGTAAAAATTACAGGTGGAAATTCCTCACTGAATTTACTCCGGTCACGTTTGCCAGTGTTGGTTTTGTAAAGAAAATTCTTCATTTTTAAAAAGCAGATGTAATAACAGAGATGGAATTGCAGCTGATATATAACTACAACGTACAAACTACAGCGTTAATGCTCAACAAACACTGTGTTGAGTTGTTTTGCAACACAGTCGAACAGATCTAAAGGTGGTTCTTGAACCTGATGATCAGTGAACTATGACATCACTACGGGCTACATGTGCAGCCATCTTTATTAGTGAGATATTAGCAACACCGACAACATCTCCACCTGTACCTCCACGCTGCAGACTGAGCTGCTTTACTTGCTGGATGTGCACATTTGTGCAGAGAAATGTTCTTAATAAACCTGAAATATGTAAATGATGTTTGCCTTGTTGGTACATTTGAGTGCTGGACAGTTGGCAGGAACAGTAATAAGTAATTTGGCTTAAGAGACAAGTAGAGGAACAGCTAAGAGTGTTTCACTCACTCAGCTGATGCCCTGTCAATGCTACTATAATGGACAACGCTATCAACACTGGAGAAGTTTGCACTTTCAATCAAGGCCACACTTAAGCCGGTCTGTTGTAATGTAGTGCAGGGACCTGGAGGAGGTGCTGTGAAGAATTCAAATTCAAGTCATTTTCTCTGAATGTCTAACAGACATGCCTTTATAAAAATAAATGCCTCTTGAGCCACAAAAGATAACAAATGTTGAATGAAGCAATCAAAACTGTATTGAGATAAATTTAAAAGGCATCTTTTTATGGCGACAGTCATCACAGTGGAGATGAAATGTTGAGTGCAGTCCATTCACAGCAGCCTTCTATGAAAAGGTCAAATGAAGCTCTAACAGCACTGACTGAAGTGTCCTTGAATGCACCAGTGATCAGTGGGGAGTATAAAGCAGCAATCAGGCACAATGGAGACTTTGTCATAGAGACTGGGCCGGGTTTATCCCAAATGAGGCAGGTCTTTCTGCCCGACAGACACATGAAGTTCACTGTGGTGGAACTCTAAGCGACTGGTGGTGGGTCAGAGCGGGAGGTGTGTGCTGACAGGACGGTGATTGGACAGTTAGTTCATTAACTGAAGAGTCAAACAGAGCAAAGCAGGTCAGTTGGTGAGCTCACAATTCAAGGAAGCCCTACTCCTGACACGATACTATGAAAATCTCTGGAATATGTTGTAATTGAGGTTCATCATTTCTAATCCAGATTTGTGTGAACGCCACTTCTGGTGATGTTTACGGCATTTTTAGTTGTATTCTTCATTTCATGGTTAAACTGTGTTGTGATGCTGTGTGCAGCTTTTTCTGTGTAAATAACGAGTAAGAATCAGAACAACGCTGCATCTTTGTTGCTACTGCAGCCAAACGTCTCTTATTGTCCCTTTATACTGATGCTGATATTGATCTCCTGTTAACTAACAGATGACAGAGATCACTCATCCTCCTTTCTGAAGACTAAATCACAGTGTTGACTTGTTTACAACTGTGACATGAACAGAAATGTTGGTAATGCTTTATTCTATGCATTTTTTATTTGATATTTTGCAATGACTTGTTTAGGAGCTGTGTAGTTTGGCACCGGCAATAATTATCATGAGAATAACAATAACCGTTGTTATTAAGTGAAATGAATACAGACGAAAAGACACGACTCGTCTCTGACTGCATCTATTCTGCATTTAAACTAAATGGATTAGAGTGTTTTTTGGAGACAGAAAGCCCACCAAATATGAAAAGATGTCAAAACACATTTTTCTAAATCTCTCAAAATGACTAATTACCAAAGCTATCAGATCTAAACAGAATCAATCATGTCTTTCAAGGCCGTTCATAAGATGTAAAGCCAAGTGTGAAGCAGGTTCAAATCTGAAGCAGCTCTTCAGTTTTCAGTGAAAAGCCTTATGTTTGTCATGAGTGTCACCCAGACTGACAGAGAGGAGGAAAAGCAGTGCTGAGAGGGAGGATAAATATTACCATTTTGAATGGCCTCATCTTTCCAGCGGGGGGAGCATTTTTCTGCTGGCTCTAAAATAGATGGGAGAGGCACTTTAAAAAAAAGCTACTTGCTCAGTGAAACAGGTGAGAGAGGCAGACTGAGGCTGCTCTGCTTTTCACATCAAATCAAAAGCATTCAGAAGCTGGTCGAATAAAACAGCAGGTTAATGTGCATCTTGAAACAACAGCATCACAAACATTGTTTTGTGTGTTTTTGGCCTGGTGGCGCTGAAGTGAGTGAGGGGATCACATTCATTTCCTAATGCAACATGGGCGCTTGTATCTGTTCACTATGCAGAGAGATTGATAGCATATGCGCTGGGTCACTGGGTTCAGCGGGACCGGTTAAGTCCACACGTGACCGTCAATACGCCTGGTGCGATAAACAAACATACAGACTGGCACATACTGTACTGCCAGCTTAATGTATGGGACAACCTGTCTGTATGCAGCAACACATATGTAATACAGGGGGAGGGTCAGCAGGTCTGGCTTACATTGATTTTTACCAGCAACTGCAGAAAAACATAAGAGGATTGATTTAAATTGACTTTAACTTAGACTTAATGTTCCCTCACATGAAAAAGTTGGTATGTGCTGGCACCAGAGGACACCATTTGGCACATTTGAAAGAAAACAGGGTCCTCTGGTGGTGAGGATGGTGCATCACCTATTGGCCAAACTATGGATTCAAAGGTTTCCTCTACACATGATCAGTGGTATGAGCTGTGCTCCCTGGAAAGCATCTGTTGATCCAACAACTGCTTGAAGGTGGGTTTGAAACAGAGAAGAAAAAAACTGCTGCTTTATTTAAATGTGAAGCTTTCTGAGCCTTAGAAAAGGCCGACGATGCCGAGTCAAGGTGAAGCAGAGGTTTACGTCGGTAAAGTCCCGCAGGTTTAAAGAAAGCACCGCTGATGTACGATCTGCATGAACAACTGTGGGATGACTGCTGTGGGACTGCTCATTTTCTGGCCTGCCACAGTCATAATAAAGCCAGATTTTAAGGCATTCTCTAGTTTTTGTCCATGCTGTCACATTACAGTCAGCTGGTAACAAACAAGGTTAAGGTTTTTATTGTTATTATTATTTATTATGTTTATTGTGATATCATTTAAAAACAGGGACAACAGTGTCATCTTGCAGACAATCTCTGCAGGGAGACACTGATAGTGTCGCACTGAGTGGTTCACATGAATAGTTGAGTAATAAATTAAAAAAAGAGAGCTGGGAGGCAGGTACAGTGTTTTGGCCCTTTTTCTCTCCTCTTAAATTTTAGTTTTGGAAAGTTGATAAGAAAAGACATATTCAGGCCTTGTCTGATGTCAGGAGGTGTGGGGGTTGGGGTTTCCAATAGAACAACACTGTGTTCATAAAATAAATTCTGATGCCCTTCCTCATAACTTTGTCATGCACAATGGACTCATTTAGTTAGCAGGGAGCATTAAATCGTTTTTATTTAAAGTAATTTGGTGAAAGTTGTCAGAATAGTCAAAGATACATCGAAAAGCAGATAATTTTAACAACTAATTCAGTTTTCCAAAATGGAGACATATTTAGGCCATGAAACTGAGCCCACAGTGCAGCTTCATGTATTAATGCAATATGCTTGTTTGTTAGAAACGTTTACGTGTAATCACACAGTGTGATCATTGTGTGATTGTGATGGACTCAATACATTAAGATCAGTGCCACTGCCCATGTCCTGTGAAGAAGAGGGATGACTGAACTTTAATCATACATTAATTCTTCAGAAGCCTTCTGAAGAAGGCGACAGATAAAACGGCAAAACATGTCAAGGTACAGCTAACAACTTTAAACCATTTGTCGTATTACAAAGAAATCCTGAAGTCAGCTGAACAGAACTCCGTTGTGCTCTCACTGGGTGAGCAGCTGAGTAACTTGAAGTGAAATTAGTGGAGAGTTGTTTTAAAAGTTAAGCTTCGCAGCACATTCTTAACCCTGTAGTCAAGCAGTTGAGGAAACAATCTCTACTGAAGGTCCACAGGTCAAAGCTGAAGCTAGCTTTGAGCCGGTGATGCTTCAAGATTCATTGCTTTGTCTACAGAAAGAGAACGAGTGAAGGCAGCACAGTCAGTCTCACACTGGTGATGTGTAGAGGGTCTGTCTAGTACGGTAACTACTTTTAAAATTCAAATTTCATACAGATAGAATAAACAAAATGTGTGGTTAAATGTTTTTATATATTATGTCCCATGGCTTTTATGTGATAAAAGTTGGATTATCTGACTTAAAGATGTGCAAACCCTAAATGTTTTTTACTTCAGCAAAGCCTGATGATGTTCATAATGCTCCTTCTAAGCCTTTTCTATTCTGAAAGTATTATTATTAAAGGGAAACATGGAGTTGTAGTTGTTTTTGGCAATTGGAGGGATTATCTGCTTTCATATCAACTATAAAATGCATTATCAGTATTAAAACATGTATTGCACACACTGATCATATGTAGAATAATTCTGGGGGAGTGTGACACTGTGGATGTGTGTTGTCGAGGTGCTAATCAGGCCAGGAGTCTTACCTGACATACTGGTGGGGTTCAAGGCCAAGAAGTCATCCTCAGAGCCTCCTCAGACATCTGGGTACCTACCTAGCTGAACACAGAGCCAAGAAACCATCAGTCATTCAGTGTTGTCTTCCTCTGTACACACAGCAACAGCAGTCACACTTCTACCCACATCGTGTAAGAAAGGAAGGTATTCTGTGTTCACAGTTCGTCCCTCCCTGCCGTGAAAAATAACTAAAATCACGGGGAGGGAACAAAAGTGCTGCTAACTGGGTGTAATAATTTTTTTCAGCTAGATGAAACAGTCTGAAAGATGTGTTTGAAGCCTCTGTTTTCATCTTAGGAGATGTTTGAGGATGCAACTAATACTGAGTGATGAGTGTAGAACAGGAAATCTCTGCTGCTCAAGTGTGACGACTACTGAGACCTTCTTGCCTCTGTGTAGGATGACATCTGGTGGTCAAACCACAGAAATCACTTTGCACAACCTTATAACAAATGTTAGAAACTAGATTTCTGTTCGTTTTCAGGTTTCAGTTGTTGTTTCATTATGTTATGCATAAAGGACCACAGTTTCTACCCATCTATGCTTGTATGGTTGCTACTGTTGGTCTGTCAGTTTGGGACCAGTTGGGTTTATCGTATCTTTTTCTAATAATATCTGATTGTCTCGCTTTATGCAAGGCTATTGATTCTGGATTGATTTTTGAAGATGGAATTAGTTACATACAAGAGGCATAAACACACGAAGGGAAACCTTTGATTCAGTGAAATGAAGCTCGTCTGTGAGATTCATAAGTGCACCGCCGTGGTTTTTGTTTCTGGTCCTTTAGTCTGTCCTGAATGACAGAAGATGGAAGGAATAACGGCACATTCTGTATATTCTGGATTATTGGTGCCAGACTTTCACTTTTGTTTCAGTGTGGTGAGGTTGTTGGGAAGTCCTTAAAGCGCTACAAGAAAGAGGACTTTTAAAAAAAACCTACACTGCTGTGAAAACTGGACAAACAACTGGACGGTGTCAATAAAGATTGTGGGACATGATGAACATCTACAGAATAG